GACTCGGAAGAAGAAGCTATGGAGATCACACCTGCTAAAGGAAAGAAAGCTCCTGCAAAAGTTGTTCCTGTGAAAGCCAAGAAAGTGGCTGAAGAGGAGGATGACGATGATGAAGAGGATGAAGATGATGAGGATGACGACGATGATGAAGAGGAGGAAGAAGATGAGGAAGAGGAAGAAGAGGAAGGTAATCAAATTAAATTCAAAAGTACACTGACCTCAGTAATTTTTTTTTAATGGAAGTGCTTTAAATGTCTGCCTACTCATGAATGACACTAAAAATCTTATGCAGAGCCTGTTAAAGCGGCACCTGGAAAACGGAAGAAGGAAATGACCAAACAGAAAGAAGTTCCTGAAGCCAAGAAACAGAAAGTGGAAGGTAACCCTTTAAAATTTCTGGACATGAGAGGAGATAAAAGTAGCTATAGCACAAGTGATGAATGACAAAGGGACTTAATACTGAAACCTAGTGTTGACATTCAATATGCTGATGTGCTTCATGAAAGTTTTATGCCGAAAATTATATGTAGTAAGCTTCTAAGTGACCTGAAATTTTGTTTTCTCTGCAGGCTCAGAATCAACTACACCTTTCAATCTATTCATTGGAAACCTTAATCCAAACAAGTCTGTTGCTGAATTAAAAGTTGCCATTAGTGAACTTTTTGCTAAAAATGATCTTGCTGTTGTGGATGTCAGAACTGGTACAAATAGGTAAGTTTTTCTTTAACTATTACATGTGAATTAGCTAGCACTTTTTTTAATCTTCCATCCCAGGGGAATGTGTGTGTAAGTGTAATTTAATAAAGATTAGACATCTAATAAGTCATCAAATCATGGAACCTGCAAACTGGAAATTTCAATATTTGACTTGATGTTATGTCAAATAACAGGAAGTTTAAAAATTTGGATCTGAATAGTCATGGTGAATGTTTTTAGCTAGAAGTACTTAGCAAATCCTCTTCCACCTAGTACTGTCAATTACAGTGTGGTAAATGAAGAAATTTAAGTAGATGTGCTGTTGTGTCTTGGTACATATACTTGGTTCTTTGGGAGATGAAGATGAGCTAAATTCCTCTAATACCTGTAATCGTGTCCTTTTCATCTTTCAGGAAATTTGGTTATGTGGACTTTGAGTCTGCTGAAGATCTAGAAAAGGCCTTGGAGCTCACTGGTTTAAAAGTGTTTGGCAATGAAATTAAACTTGAAAAACCAAAAGGAAGAGATAGTAAGAAAGGTACGTAAAAGGGTCTGGTTGACTTAGGAGGTATACTTTGACCCTTCTCCCTGGTGAACTGATGAGATTGACATGGGTAAGGTGCATATGAGAAGTCGTGACAAGTTCAATTCTTGGGGTGTACATACAGCTGCCTTCTACTTTATGAATTCGAAAAGGGAATATAGTCTTTTAGGTTTTCTGAACGAGAGGGTCTTGGTCTTTGACAGTCCTGAAAGCTCACTAGATAATCAGACTACTATTAATAGGAGTGTGGAGTAATCCATATTCTTGATATCTTAGAGATGGGAGCTAAATCAAAATAAACCATTCATATACACCTTAATACATGTAACTGTGGGGAACTTTATACAGTGTTTTTAGTGGGCTTGCATTTTGACAGGCTAATGGGTCAGATGTCATCCTCTATCTTTGTTAATGTCATTGCTCAAAAATTTTTAGATTGGTACTTAGAGGTCTTTCAGTCATGAGATTCGACTTTCATTAGCAATGGGATTGGGTAAACAAGGTTCTTTTATTAAACTGTATTGGGCTCCTAATTACCCTTGTGCCTTTGCTCTTTTCTGTATTAGCACATGTTAAATGTATTGGGTAGGGTTGGTTCTTTTTTTTCTTTCCCCTGCATGTTTCTATATATGTAGAGGGAGGGCATCTTTGCCTGGTGTGAGTGCTAAGAATTAAACATGGGTCCTTCCTGCAAAGTGCTCTTAGCCATTGAGCCAACTCTCCATCCCTTATCCCTTCATTCTTTGTGTAGAACCTTGTCCTTTATAGGAGCTATTTGCTTTATTCTCTTGTAACTTGCTAAATGATATACTTGAATTTCTTTTAATCTAGTTCGAGCTGCAAGAACACTTTTAGCAAAGAACCTTTCTTTCAACATCACTGAGGATGAATTAAAAGAAGTGTTTGAAGATGCCCTGGAGATCAGATTGGTTAGCCAGGATGGGAAGAGTAAAGGGTATGTTTTGTGTCTGAATATTGAGCTTTATTAACAAAAAGGTATTTAGGTTGATAGTTGAGTGTTACCTTCCCCTCTCCTACAGGGTCTCATGCAGTTCATACGGCCTCAGACTTGTAGCCAGAGACTGACCTGGTCTTCTAGCCTCCACCTTCTAGGTGCTGTGATTAAAGGAGTGGCATCAAGCCCAGCTGATTGGTTTTGAAGCTGTGATCACTGTTATAGGCTAGCCTGCATCCAAATATCCAAATCAGCATTCTCTTTTGCCTCAGGCTCCTGCTAGCACCAGTACTAACTAACCTTCCCTATTTTATGAGAAAAATGTAGGGAGTTTAACATTACTGTGGCTTTTTGGAATAGTCCACTTGAGTTTAAAGGATGATTTTTAAAGATGAACTAATATGTGAAAAAGAACAGGAAAAGTTGTGTCAGTAATTTGAGTGTACACATGATTGTAAGTGGTTAATATATGTAAGGTTACATGGTAACACTGTTGAATAACATTTGCCTCATGCGTTTCTTATTAAGTGAATAACTGGATCTGCTTGTACTCTATCTCTTGCAGGATTGCTTATATTGAATTTAAATCTGAAGCTGGTGCAGAGAAAAACTTTGAAGAAAAGCAGGGGGCAGAAATTGATGGGCGATCTGTTTCACTCTACTACACTGGGGAGAAGGGACAGAGGCAAGAAAGAGCTGGAAAGAATAGCACTTGGAGTGGTAAGCTAAAGGGGTTTATTCTACATTGGGGTTTAGAAGGTCGTGTCTTTATACTTGAAATACTTTATGATTAGCCAGAATTAATTTACCTTTTGTTCATAATGCTAACATGAAAGCTATTTGAAATCCTTTCCATTGGAACATGGAATTACAGCTTTCTTTATTGGGTATGTTTATACTTTAAATGGCTTAAACTATATATATTTTAGAAATAATATTCTAGGACGATGTAGAGCAGTCATCTAGTAAGACTGAAAATGAAAGGAGCAAGGAAAGCATTACTGTGTATGATGGATGCTCAGTCTACTGAGGATTGAGTCATTTGAATCAAGAGTGGTGTTTCTTAGGATTCAGCCTATAGCTGAAGTGCCATTGTTTCTTAGAACATGGGATCTTTTATGGGGTAGGTTGGAAACAAGCCTGTTATGCAGTCCACCAGGGCCCACTTGTCAGAGTGCTTTTAAACAGGCTTACTTGAACAAGCCTTGCTAATAATGTGATTTCTTTGTACTTATAGGTGAATCAAAAACTTTGGTTTTAAGTAACCTTTCCTACAGTGCAACAGAAGAAACTCTTCAGGAAGTATTTGAGAAAGCAACTTTTATCAAAGTGCCCCAGAACCCACAAGGCAAATCTAAAGGGTATGCGTTTATAGAATTTGCTTCATTTGAAGATGCTAAAGAAGCTTTAAACTCCTGTAATAAAATGGAAATTGAGGGCAGAACAATCAGACTGGAGTTACAAGGACCCAGGGGATCACCTAATGCAAGAAGTCAGCCATCCAAAACTCTGTTTGTCAAAGGTCTGTCTGAGGATACCACTGAAGAAACATTAAAAGAATCATTTGAGGGCTCTGTTCGTGCAAGAATAGTCACTGATCGGGAAACTGGTTCCTCTAAAGGGTAGGACATAATGCTGCTTTTCTTTGGTGTGTTCTGCATGGACAGCTTCGCTCTGCAGTATCTTCTCATTGAGCTCCTTTCTGTCGGCTGGTGGCAGATTATGGATTCGCACGAGAAGAAGAGAAAGTTCACAGAACTAGCACTTAGCTTCTGTTTTTATAAACAGAGGTATATTTGGCTGTTGTGTGAGACATTCTGAGATCTAAACTCAGACCAACCAGGATTTTTACTACATTTGGGTCTTTCTTGATCTATAGTAAGAGTGCTTTCTGTATAATCACTCTGTGAATGACTTGGTTCTTGTGTATGTATGTGCTTGCTTTAAAGTGGGTGGTTTTTATTCTGTGCTGTAGGTTTGGCTTTGTAGACTTCAATAGTGAGGAAGATGCCAAAGCTGCCAAGGAGGCCATGGAAGATGGAGAAATTGATGGGAACAAAGTTACCTTG